TTTCAGGCTGGACATAAGGAGAATTTCTTTACTGTCTGAGCCCCCAAGGTCTGGAATAGCCTGCCATCGGAAGTGGTTCAAGCACCCACATTGAACATCTTCAAGAACAAATTGGATGCTTATCTTGCTGGGATCCTGTGACCCCAGCTGACTTCCTGCCCTTTGGGCAGGGGGCTGGACTCGATGATCTTCCAAGGTCCCTTCCAGCCCTAATATCTATGAAATCTATGAAAATTAATTAGAATCAGCTGTCTAGAATTTAAAGTTTCCATATGCTGTCACCTGATGAGGAATGGAAAAGTACTGAAAGGAGTGTGTACGTGTCAGGTCAGGATGGGGGGAAGATGGGGAGGAGATGTGATGTGGATAAAGGCCGAGCGAGAACAACACAGCGGCCTTCAGGATAAGTTTATCAGGAGACAACTTGAGAAAACTCGCTCGGCTCTGCCAGACACCAAGATGAGTTGCTGTCAGACTGCCAAGAGCCTGGTGCGGGGGGTCTGGTTGACCTGTATGTGATTTATCAGTATATAAAGCAGCCTGTTTTTTACTCTCATTGAGCATCAGCTGCCTTTTGCTGTTCTCCCGTGGCCATGCAAAATAAAGCGCTTCTGTTAGCCAAACAGTGATCCTGTCTGAATTTCTACATCACTCCTAATCATTAGAGCCCTCCATTGCTTCTGAATGAGTGATATATCAGCATTTTGTGAGAAGCATCTCTGGCAAATTATCATCAAAGAGAGGTAAGAGACCCAGATAAACAAAATAAGAGATGGGAGACTCCCTTTTCAGCCATTATCCCCAACAGTGAACTGACCTGTAAATAAAATGTTTCATAGAGACATGACCAGTCACACATAGAAAAGTAACTGTTCCAGTAAAGGTTAAGAGTCAAATGGCTTCTCCTTTTTTTGAGAACAAAAATTGTTACTGCACTTGTGCCAACAGCACAAATTAAAAAATAAAGTTAATAAAATCAGACATAACATATGTAATTGGTTGGGTAGTACACTCTCTCTGCTAGTTCAGGATCATTGCCTATCTTGCTGAGTTTAAATAATGCACATATCAGAGCTTCCTACCACAGCTCCTGGAAGAGTCCTTGTGTCTCTTCCTTATTCAAACAAACTTGAGAAACCCTAACAAGTTATGCTGATACATAAAGTTATATTTCTTATGATATAGAAAGAGAAGGAAATTAGAAGTGCAAGGGTAAGCGTTGAGTACCAAGAAAATTATTTTATGCTTTCCAAAGCATTTAGTGTGGCCGGCTATGAACTGTGCATTAAAACAATTTGTTATAATTCAGTGATCTGTTGAAACTTCAGGTGTTTGTGAAGTTATCCTATTGGCAATTATATCTCTAGTTGTAACTGCAGGAGGGAAAGAAAAAAATTAATATTTTTTATCTATTTTGTATTTATCAATCATTTTTGTACTGGCATTTTTTACCTCCTCCCAGAAATATGGCACATCTCCATATGTAGATTGGACTGATTGTTTAATTTTCACTTGAATGCAACTGAGTTTTTGACTGTGCACCCTGCAGGGATGTTGAACATTCTGAGGACAGGAAGAATAAAGAAAATTGTGCATTGACCTGATTTACACTGATAAAACAGATGCTTAAAACATTGGGACTGTTTAAAAGTAAAGCTCTTTGCTGTATCATAAATTATTATTTTCTTTACTTGTTCTTCATAACTAATCTTCCTAATAATGAAGAAGATACTATAAAAATGGTAGCCAAATCGATCCATATTATATTTATATGGTAGATTTTAGAATTTGTCATACATATGTACCTTAAGTTCTACAAACACAAGTATTTAGAATGTCATTAATAGTAATTAAATGTTGACACAAGACAAAAACTCACTTGCTTGGCCTCAGTCACAAATAAGCTGGGACTCTGAGAAATCATTTACTTGAATGAATTGTAGTAGAAATGTGTGTTTAAACAAAAACCTGGTTTGCGTTAAGGCAAGGGAAAAGCTGGGTTCCCCAGTAAATGATCTTCTATTTGTAAAGGCCTGGCTACCAGCCTCCTTTCTTCTAAATGACACTTTAAGAAATTATCTCTTGTGTAAACCAGTTGTCAGAGCAATTAAGGATTTCAAATCATAGGGCTGGAAAGACCTCAATGGTCATGCAGTCCAGCTCCCCTGCACTAAAGCAGATTTTGCCTGATAGATCAAACCATTCCTGACAGATGCCTATCCAGCTTTTTCTTAAAATCCTCCAGTGAAGGAGAATCTATAATTTCCCAGGGCAGTTTGTTCTAATATCTAGCAGCTCTGATATTTAGGAAGCTTTTTGTGAGGTTTTAATATCAATCTGCCTTTGAAAACCATTGTTTCTCATTCTATCCTAAGCAGCTGGGAAGAAGCTGCTTCAGAGATCTTTATGGCGATACTTTAGACCTATAATCATGTCATCCCTCAGTCTGCTTTTTCTCCTGATGAAGCAATTCAAGCTCCTTTAACTTTGCTTGATATGGTTTGCTTTTCAGACTCCTCCTCAGCTTTGTTGCTCTTTTGTATTCTCTCCAGTTCAGATCCTTCTCAAAATGTGGCTCCAAAAACTGAACACAGTACTTCAGTTCAGCTCCACACCCTAAAGCTAGTGGCCAAAATGTTAAAAAGTGACTAATGATTTCAGAAGCCACCATCTTAAGGTTCCTGACCTGAGTAGCTTTATCTTCAATCACCCCTGAAAATCGGGCCTATTAAAGGTGTTTGCAGTTAGGGCATGCAAAAATGAATTGCTAGTTGGGTCTGAAAAGTTTGGCTCATAACTTTAATACCACTGATAATGTAATTGGTAGTCACTATAGATCTTGGATCATTGATATTATTTGGTACTCTTTTTTGCTTCTCACCCAGTTCTTTTTTTTCTTTGGTGTGCTAACGTGTCTCTATGCCACCATTTGGCGTATTTATTTACTAATAATGCTGCAGTTCAGGAATGTCAGTCCTTAATGGATTTATGCCGTTTGAAGAGCCATTGGAGAGTATCCAGTCCATTGCTTCATTAAGCAATGAGTACTATTTGTAGTATAAAAGATTGGCTGTGAATGCTGAACGTTTTTAGATAATACTGGACCCAGCTGTGGGTAAGCCAAAAATACTCTCGGCTTTTTAGTAAAATTAAAGCAGTTTTATCACTTTTCTTCTCAATAAAAAATAATCACTATTATTTCCTTTAAAAGGCGTAATTTTAAGAGGCCCACTGAGTAAAAAATTGTTTCTGAGACAGGCATCCCACAGTGTGCACGAGTGCCTGGTTGTAGGAACTTGCATAATGCATTTGTATCTCTGTAGCAGAAATAATTCTAAGATTCTGAACATTTAAATATCAGTTATGAGGCCAAGCCCCAGGATGTGTCCTTGAGATTTTAATTAAAATATCAGCAATTTATACCATGTTCACTTTAGAAGTATGAGTTCTTTGAAAAGTAACTAACAGCTTCTAGCAATGGTGCGAGAGCACGTTCACAGTGAAAAGGTAGTGCAATAAATCCTCTACTTGCGCTTACATAAGGAAAGCGGTGTGTATCTGATATCCAGCACTCTGTTCATGAGAATTAGGAAAATACTGCTTGTTTTGGATAATTCTGTGTGATAGTGGCTAGCAATCTTTACAAGCCATGGGCTGGAACAACTCGGCTGTAGTCTGTCATGGGTGAGGAGCTTCAGCAACGCATCAGTGGCAGAAGGAGGTACGTGTTCCCAGGCCAGGAAGCTGGGAGCTGTGCTTGTGCTGCCATCACTTTCTTCACTCTGTGGAATGGCATGGGTGCAGCTTCCAGCCAGCGGGGAACTGAGCTTGGGCCAGAAATCCGGCAACCATGTCTGCATTGCCAAGTTGAGTTCAGAATCACCTCTGCAGCCTTGGTTACATTCCCACCCAGTTAGCACCCTCCACTGTTTTTGCACTATTGTAACTGTGTGTAGCATACTTTAGTGGGGATTTTATATGAAACACTAAATAAGGCAGAAGGCAGGGCAAAGTGGTACCTTACAGCCCAACTCATTCAAGAGGATAATCTAAACAATGGGATTTATAAGTTCTACCCTTTCATTTGTATGTCTTTATTTCTAGCCTTTCCTGTTATGCTGTTGTGAGGCATGAGTTTCCATAGGCTACAGTCTAGTTTGTCAGACGCTATAAATGAGCGTCTGACACATGAGGTAGAATTGCTAAGAGATGCGAAGGTGGGTAGAAGAGAACAAAAGTGATAAACAAACTGACTCTTAAATATGCTACCTAGCTTATTCATTTCTTGGACACCACTGTGAAACTTGGCAGTGGTCACAGCACCATCACAGTGTACTGGAACCAACCACTGTAGCTACCTCTATACCACCAGTTTTCATCCATAAAATCCATTGTCTACAGCGTTAGAGCTCAACCTCCAGTCCATGGGCCTAATCTGGCCTGCTGAGCCATGTCATTCAGCCTGCAACATTCCCCATTGGTTCAGAAATTTAGTGACGAAGGAGTAGTGGCAGTAATAATTGCCACTTTCCTGCTCCCATGGGGAGCCCCACAGTCTGGATAACATGACCCTGTGCACTAGATTGTGCCAATGCACAGTTGGGTCAACACACAGGGTCACTTTGCAGCCAGACCAGGAATACAGCATTGGGCCAGCAAATGGACAGAACCAGCACGAGGGATCAGGCCAACATGTGGTTGGATTTGGTATATAGGGTCAGGCTGGTGTGCTAAATCACACCCACAGACAGACTCTACACGCTGACTCCATGAGAATCCAACCTACAGACTGACCCCAAACCACTTGTCAGCCATATGGTGCCGAAAGGTTGGGTATTACTGGTCGACAGCCAAACTCTATGTTACAGCCATATCTGCCTGTAAAGTTTTTTTTGTTTTGCATATGCTATTAAATGGCTTGCTAATGCACATGACTATATATTTGCAGCATTTCGGACCTTCCTTGGAAAAGCCGATGTGTCTTATGAGGTAGAAGAAGTGTCAGCGGAAAGTCGACTACACAGAAACGTTCAGTTAGTGTCCATTCTGCAGCTTCTGAGAAACCGCTCTGTCCGCTGGCAGATCATTACCGTGGTCATCACCATGGGCTGCTACCAGCTATGTGGGCTTAATGCTGTAAGTGTACTTTCTCCATACACAACCTGCTAATGGGTTAATCAGTATTCTTGTTATATAGCCTCCTATTTTGACAATCTTTGCACTGTTTCATTTTTCTGCTGTTCCTAATTTTTAATTATTTTTGGTGCTCTAGTTCTGAAGAGCCCCAACAGAGACCAAGCTTCCACCACACTGGATACTAGAGACTGTCCAGTTACATTAATTTCAATGGAGTAAATGGTCCTGGGGGGAGGGGGCAAAGATGTTAACATGATCCTGTCTCTGTACAACAGGAAAACATGTTTGGCATTTTGAGTACAGAGACCTCAGCCTGTGCTACCACAAAAATGTTCTTAATTAAAGATAGAGGAAAAGAAGAAAAATAATTAAAATATTTGAAATTTACCGTATTAAATAAGCCTTTTGTTTTCCTTCAGTTTTTTTTTGAAGAAAATTGCCTGTTTGGCAGCCTTTTTGCAATAACTGTTTTCAGTGGGGAAAAAGACATTAGTTGAAAAGGGCTGGTGTGATGATTGTTCTTGTTGAGGAAATCTAATCCAGCTTCCTTGAAGAAAAGCAAGACAGACCCACAGAAGGAGAAAGGAAAGAACTTCAAAGACAAAAAGTACAGCTTCTGCTTCTGGTGTTGGCTCTTACAGCCTTGCTGCTAGACAAAGACAGGCTGAGCACTTGCTCTTGTTAACCACTGGGAGACTTGGCAAACTTGTACCCTAAGTAGGGTAATTACACTGTTTTCAGCTGCCTTTTCTGGCTCAATCGTATTGCAAAAGATACAGTCTTGACTGGCTAGCCAGATACTTTATTTAAACAGAAGGCAAAACAGAGACACAGAAGGAAGAACTAAGGTGGTAAGGAAATGAAAATGAGGGAGGAGATGACTGAAGGACACGCCTTTTATGATATGCCTGGTTCAAAGCTTTCCTGAAGTCATTGGGGAGGGACTGTTATAATCTAGGTCAGCAGTTCTGAACCGGGGGTACATGTACTCCCAGGGGCTCATCAGAAGCCTCATATGGGCGGACATGAGATATATTTCATACATTGTCTAACACAGGTCGAAGGGCCTAAAAAAATAATTTCCCATTGAAAGGGGGTACGTGAAGTCTCACTCTGAGACCAAGAGCTATGTTGACTGAAAAAGGTTCAGAACTGCTGATCTAGGTCTACCCCAGCGTGCAGTCTGGTCAGATTATCAACCTGATCCATGATAAAGGCCCAGAGGCACCAGGATGGATCACGAGGTATGACAGTCATGTTGGTAAAGCTTGCTACTTTTACTACCCTCCTGATGTGTGTAAAACTAGGAACCCCCCCCAAAAAAGACTAAAGAATACCTTAATTTGTTCTCACATTATTTTTTTCCACCAAGTAGGCCTAATTTACAATATATCCATTTTGGCCAATTAATTTCTAGTCTTAAGTACTTTTTGTTTGCCAGACACAATCCTAACAATTAGTCCTTGAGTTGTTCTGTCTTGACTTGCAAATAGTTATAAATAACAGTAAAAGTTATGGTAACAGGTCACTTTGAACATACTATTTGGATAGTTTCAAGTCAGTACACAATAAACCCCTCCTGAAAGAGTTAATCTAACAGAGGTGGAAGAGGAAACAGAAATACAGAGATGTAAGAGGTAATATTTTAAAGAGTGACATAGGCATTTAGGAGCATAACTCCTTTGTGGCTTTTGGGTACTATAGTACTATTTTCAAAAATGACTTAAGTCCTTAAGTGACTTAGATGAAAATTTTACCTGAAGTAACTTTTCCAAAATAATACAGAGGTGACAGAGGCTTAATGACAGTACTGGAAATAGAATTTGGGAGTGTTTGTGCACATGACAATGTCATGATGTGCATGTGACAATTTCCCTTTGTGTGGTTTAATGACATTACACATTACATGTACACAAGTTTGGGGAGTTTTAAATGAGTTTGCATTGTTGCAAATTAAGCTACATCCCAGTGTAGTTTAGTTTGCAACATTGCAACTTGGAACATTGCAGCCATTAGTCAGCTTGCCCCCTGGCTGCAGGAGAGGGCCCCTCACCATTTCTGCCTTCAGCAGGCTCCTGTGGCTGGCAGGTTATCTGGAGCATCCTGGGAATGAGCTGGCTTGCCCCTGGGGCAGTGCGGGGAAACAGCAGGAGGACAGCTGGGTGTGCTGGAGGCCGGAGAAGAAGGCGCAGATGGAGCATGGGGCTGCCCAGGTGGGCTACTAGCTTTCTCGAGCGTGCACATGCTTCCAGCGCCCTGTGCACTGTCCACACTGCCTTCTCCAACTGCCAGCCCACCCAGCCACCCTTTTGCTACCTTCCTGCGCTGCCCCAGGGGCAAACCAGCCCATTTCCAGGCAGCCCCAGGTGTCCTGCCAGCCACAGGAGCCTGCTGAAGACAGAAGTGGTAAGGGGCCTGATTCATTTTTTTCTGCAGAGCCTACCTACCTTTCCCACAGCTGGGGAGTGAGAGATTAAGCTGACAGATTAATGGACCCCAGCCGTGAGAGAGGTGTGCAGGCTCCTCCAAAAAAACAAAAAAAAAAAAACAAAAAGGATCTGGCCCCTCGCCACTTCTTCCTTCAATCAGGCGCCAGTGGCCACCAGGACAATAACATATATACAGTGACGAAAAAATAATACCCACTGTTTCAATTAAAAGCTCACCATTTAAATTTAGGTGGCATAGAATGCAACCCTAAGGACTAAAACTACATCACATGTATAAGTGCCCTGGGTGACAGAATAACTCTTCAACAAATGGTAGGAAGAAGTCTAAAAGATTTGCTTCACACTTTAGGGAAAGTATAAAAGACTGAGCAAACAGATGTTGTTTTCTTCAAATTACAAGATTTCAATGCTAATGACAGACTATTTTGTTCTTTGTTGTGGATACTTTGTTAAGAAAAGAAGTGAAATTATCTTGTCATTCATTCTTTCTTACAATTTATCTGCTAAAGGTATAAGTGAAATAAAATGACACCTACAGAAAGAAACAGACTGTTCAAGTTATGTACAGAAACTGCATAAAGAAACCCATAGCTATACTTGTTTCAGGGAGAAAAGGAGAAAAATATATAACTGAAACTGACCAGCTTAAAGTAATCAAATCTTCTGATATAGGGTATACTTTTTTGTTAATATTATGCAGAATTTTAAGTCATTAAAATTGGGTGCTTTAAAACTCATTTTTTATTTTGTATTTCCTCATGAAATTCTGCCAAGTATGCAAAATTTGTTTACATAAAATGGGTCTTAAATTGGGATTTAAAAATATTTTTGTGATTGAGTTATTGTAGTCATGAACGATGCGTGCCCCTGGTGGTTGGGGGCATGGCGGCACTGGCGGTGGCAGGATCGCGGCAGCGGTAAGCAGGGGAGCTCCTGCAGATTCCGCCGGCACTGTTGGCAGTGGGGGGACGGCTTGGCAAGCGCTGACCAGGGGTCAGCAACCACCTGCAGATGTCGCCGACAGCAGCAGCCAGCAGGGATCGTGGACCGGCCATAGATGCCACCAGTTTGAAATTCACACTTTTCACTCATATTAACTTTCCCAAATATGTCACCATGTAGACAAGATATTATAGATGTCGGCACTCAGCTACTTAAATGAGTGGACCCTCAAATACTATCGAATCTCTACTGCCTTGCAGTTGTGCAGATTGCATGTAAGATTCTAGTCCTTCAGTCATATGTTTGAATTATATGTTGAAGACCTCTATATCAAATCATGGCAACTAATGAAGTGCTTGCTTTACATTGATACAGATCTGGTACTACACAAACAGCATCTTCAGCACATCTGGGATCAACCATGATACCATCCCCTATGTTACCTTGAGCACTGGTGCTACTGAAATCTTGGCTGCTGTTTTTTCTGTAAGTTGCATTATAATGATTCATTATATATAAAACATTATAGCAATTGATCACATTAAAAGTATTTAATGCTGACGTAAATGTTACTGATTAATTTTTCATGTTAAAATACTTTAGCAAAAATATTCAGTTGATTTCATTAGCTGGAAGTTACCATAGTTAGATCCAGTACAAGTCCCAGCTACCTGGCTGTCTAAGTATCATCTACTTTGGGATGGTATTTAAACTTCAGAGCAGCTATATAGTAGGTTGATACATCCTGATAGAGAGCTGTGAAGCTGAAGAAAAATATTGGGAAGTTTATAATGTAATGTATGGCAAGTGGCCTTGTATGGAAAATATAAAAACTAGCCTAGAAAGAGGAAAGATTGAGAGGCTACCTTATGTGGCTGTTTTGTGGGCGACTAGATCCCTGCTCCAGATCTAGTTCTGTACCTGCAGGGCAGAGAAAAGAATATGTCCTTTGGATTTCAGAGATAGCACTATTAAGAAATGATGATATGGCACTTATCCCACAGAAGTTAATTAGACAGAAGGTCTACATGCAAATATTAGTAAACCAGCCTTTCATGTTAAATAGTAGAGGAAAATAGTTAGTGGTGTTAGTCTGAAATTAGACACAAGGCAGGACGGGGTGGCATCTTATACATGAAAGGCAGAACAGATTTGCACTTTATAAACTAAATCAGAGACCTATATAGCACAGGGATGCCAAACATACAGCCTATGGACCAGATACAGCCCACAGTTCTAGATTATCCTGTCCACGGACTTTTGCCCCAAATCTGACTTTCCTGTGGTGGTAGCCTAGTGCCTGACTGAGATCCACACCACTGGAGCCTCAGCAGCACTGAGACTTGTTCCTGCAGTAGCAGTCAAGCACCTGCAGCACTGGGCATCTGCCCATGGTACTTTGGGCTCCAGCACCACAGCTCTCACCCAGGCACTTGGCTGCTGCTGCAGGAAGAAGATGTATGGCTGCTGCGACTCCTGTGCCATGCCTGTCACCAGCTTGGCTGTCAAGCACCTGAGCAAGAGTGGTGTTGGAGCCCCAGCAGCAACTCAGAAAAAAGATTGGGATTGTGGCTTGTTCCTATGGTGGCAGCAGGATGCCAGGCCTCTTCTCACCAGTTCTGGGGACTTGTCAGAATTGGGACCACATGCAGTGGATCCAGCATGGGAGGGGTCTGTGGGCCTGATCCAGACCTCAAGGCTAGCCCTGTGTCCAGAGGCAACCCAAGCAGGATGCGGGTCCCAGGGCAAATCAGCCCATGTGGGGCCCCGCCCCTACTCCGATCCCAGACCTGAAGAAGCTGCCGCTATCGGCAGCGGGAGGTGGGGACAGGCGGGTAACAAGTGGCTGGACATGGAGGCACCGCTCCACCCAGCTCCTCACCGCCGCTGCTCCACCCGGCTCTGTCTGGGGCAGTCGCCCCAATTCCCTCCCCTCCCCTTCCCCC